TTTTTTTCCTTTTTCTAAATACTATGAACAAAAGAATCATTAAAATTCGATGAACAAAATTAATTACTACACATCTAATCTAACAAAAAAAAATCTAATCTAACAAAAAAATCTATGAACTACATATCTAAATTACTACACATCTAATCTAACAAAAAAATCTAATTAATCTAACAAAAAAATCTAACATAATATAAACAAATTAATTACTACACATCTAATCTAACAAAAAAATCTATGAACTACATATCTAAATTACTACACATCTAATCTAACAAAAAAATCTATGAACTACATATCTAAATTACTACACATCTAATCTAACAAAAAAATTCTAATCTAACAAAAAAATCTATGAACTACATATCTAAATTACTACACATCTAACCTAACAAAAAATTTAATTAATCTAACAAAAAATGACGGTGGCCGGCGTACGGCCGGCGAAGGCGACGGCGAGGTGCTCACGTACGGCCAGCGACGGCGACGACGAGGTGCGGAGCGGGGCGGCGACGACGTCGAGGCGGCGTGGGCCGGGGCGGCGACGTCAATCGGGGCGCGCGGACGGCGACGACGCGGGGCGGGGCTGGGCGGGGCGGCGCGGGGCGGCGACGGCGTCGGGGCATGGCGGGGCGTGGCGGCGACGGCGTCGGGGCGGGGCGGCGACGGCGAGGTGGCGGCAGGGAGACGCGCGGCGACGAGAGTGGAGCAGGAGAGATCGAAGTCGCGCTAAGTGCTGTATATATAGCAATGGCTTTGGTCCTGGTTCGTGGCACCAACCGGGACCAATGCCCCCTTTAGTCCCGGTTGGTTCCACCAACCGGGACCAAAGGCCTCTTTTCAGCAGCCTAAAGGGCGGGAAACGAAGACCTTTGGTCCCGGTTGGTGGCTCCAACCTGGACTAAAGAGCGGCATTCGTCCCGGTTGATTCCACTAACCGGGACCAAAGAGCGGCATTGGTACCGGTTGATGCCACCAACCGGTACCAATGGACCCGTCTAACTACTTTTTTATTTTCTGCAGCTGTTTTTTTGTTGATTCTTCCTGCAGCTGTTTTTTTAGTCCAACCTCGCCAAGCGAGAGGCACTCGCAGCTGTTTATAAGCCCTGAGTGCAGAGACGATGACGAAGAGGCTCAATGCTCCTGCACGTTGGTTAGCTTCAAGCCTTGAGGAATACGGTAGACTGCACAGAGCTATGTGCTGTGCAGGTGACACTATTCCGAAAGGCTTGAAGCAAATTAACAAGCATTGCGCCTCTTTTTTATTTTTAATGACTTATTACACCTCAGAAATAAAAAGAAAAAAATAAATATAGCAGAAAAGAAAAAAAACTATATAGAAAACTACTCAAAAATGAATTGAAGCAAAAAATAGTTGTGATTAACTGTACTAAAACAAGAGCATAGATGCTTATTTTTAATGACTTATTACAACTCAGAAATAAAAAGAAAAAAATAAATATAGCAGAAAAGAAAAAAAACTATATAGAAAACTACTCAGAAATGAATTGAAGCAAAAAATAGTTGTGATTAACTGTACTAAAAAAGGAACATAGATGTTTATTTTTAATGACTTATTACAACTCAGAAATAAAAAGAAGAAAAAATAGTTGTGATTAACTTTACTAAAATATGAGCATAGATGCTTATTTTTAATGACTTATTACAATTCAAAAATAAATAGAGCAAAAAATAGTTGTGATTAACTGTACTAAAAAAGGAGCATAGATGCTTATTTTTAATGACTTATTACAACTTAGAAATAAAAAGAAAAAAATAAATATAGCAGAAAAGAAAAGAAAAACTATATAGAAAACTACTCAGAAATGAATTGAAGCAAAAAATAGTTGTGATTAACTGTACTAAAAAAGGAGCATAGATGCTTATTTTTAATGACTTATTACAACTCAGAAATAAAAAGAAGAAAAAATAGTTGTAATTAACTTTACTAAAATATGAGCATAGATGCTTATTTTTAATGACTTATTACAATTCAAAAATAAATAGAAGAAAAATAGTTATGATTAACTTTACTAAAAAAATGAGCATAGATGCTTATTTTTAATGACTTATTACAACTCAGAAATAAAAAGAAAAAATAAATATAGCAGAAAAGAAAAAAAACTATATAAAAAGCTACTCAGAAATGAGCATAGATGCGCTTATAGAGGAAATTCAAATTAAATTCATAACAAATTTCAAGAGAAATTCGTATGAATTTAGGCTAAATTCCCTATATAAGGGCATCTATTTTCATTTTCAGATGAGCTCATTAAGGCAGAGAGGGAGGGGCTTATAAACCGGTCTGATTCTCCTTCGGTTGGCGAGGTGGGACTAAATTTTGGCCGCAACGAGGACCAACCCTTTAGTCCCGGTTGGTGGAATGGACCGGGACTAATGGTCGTCCTTTGGTCCCGGTTCAGGCCACCAACCGGGACCAATGGTGGTGGGCCAGGAGCGAGGGCCATTGGTCCCGGTTCGTCCCACCAACCGGGATCAATAGGTCCAGACGAACCGGGACCAATGGCCCACGTGGCCCGGCCGGCCCCTGGGGCTCACGAACTGTGTCCAATGCCCCCATTGGTCCCGGTTCTGGATTGAACCGGGACTAATGGGCTGGACCGGCCTGGACCATTGGCCCCTTTTCTACTAGTGAACACTCTTTACTCCATTGCAGCGTCGCAAGATGCGTCTGGGCTCTCCAAGATCATGAGCTGGTCGAGGCACTTAACAGTTCGGTGGAACCCGACGCAAAAAGATGGGTGTTTGCTCTGCATGACATGCTGTCAAGGGAGGAGTTCACTCAGACTGTTGTCACCCTTTGGTCAATCTCGTTCACAAAAAGACAGGCATTGCATGAGCACATATTTCAGAGCCCCCAAGCGACTCATAATTTCATCATGAAATATCTGAGAGAGTTGAAGGAGTGCAAACCCACCACATCTCCATCACGGTCAGGGCCTGTGCAGCACCAGCTTCGGCGCAAGGCATGGAGCTGACCGCCACCTGGCTGTGTGAAGATAAAAGTGGATGGGGCTGTGGCACGTCATGGAAGCGGCGGCGCGTTTACTGCAGTTTGCAGGGATTCAACTGGCTTGTTGCTTGGCGCTTCAGCCATACGTTGCAGAGGTATTTCTGGTCCGGCTATCCTTGAAGCTTTGGCGTGTCGTGAAGGTCTGGCTCTAGCCAATGATCTTGGTGCTACGCATGTGGTCATAGCATCTGATTGCAAGGGGGTCGTCCAGGATATCACGAACAATACCGGAGGAGAGTACGGTGCGGTCGTTAGGGAAATACGGGACATCTACGATGTTTCAGCTTTGTACCTTCGCTTTTGAAGGAAGAGAGACTAATATAGAGGCACGTAGCCTCGCTAGACATGCCTTGGGTCTGGATCATGGAGGCCATGTGTGGCTCATAAATCCACCAGACCTCAATTGTATCCCTATGAATTTATTGGCTGAATAAAGAAAAGCATGTTTAGACTTAGGAAAAAAAGAAGTCTCCCAATCATAATAAAATCCTGTTAAAAAATTGTTCGATTTGGAAACAAACTTTCCTTTTTTTTGAGAAATGAAACAAACTTTCCAAGTACTACTTCTGGCACCCATGTACTGTTTTCAGTTTGAAGGCTGTGCTTGCAGCAAAGTTACCTCACAACTTGGGCTGTGAGTTATTCGACCTCACAACTTCTTTGGAGTAGAGGTTTGAACGAAATTACTAGTTAAGGAGTACTCGTTGCGAAGATCACTTCAACTTCCTCAGGTTGCGACAAGTGGCGTCTTGCATGTGCGCCACTTGTTGCAACCTGAAAGTTTTTCTTTTTTTGTATATTTGTTTATTCAAAACGTTTTATATCTTAAACCGTGCGTCGAAATCTCGAACCGCTTTCGTCGTTGGATTCCTCGCGTCGAGATCTTCAGAACTAGATCCCATGCTGATAGTGTTTGACGAACTTTTTTTTCACAAAAAAACTGGATGAAAAAACCGGATGAAGAAACCGAACCGGGAGCACGGGTTTTTTCCCTCTTCGAAAGAGGCACGCCCGTGCCTCTGACGAAATCACAACCGTGCCTCTCGCGAAAGGAAAAAAAGAGAGAAAACACGTTTTTTTCCATTTCCAAGGGAGGCACGGCCGTGCCTCTCACGAAAGCACAACCGTGCCTCTCGCGGAAGCAAAACCGTGACTCTCGCGAAGAAAAAAAAAACAGAAAACACTTTTTTTCCTGTTTCCGAGAGGCACGGACGTGACTCTCACGAAAGCACAACCGTGCCTCTCACGGAAGCAAAACAGTGACTCGCGAAAGAAAAAAAACATTTTTTTTCGTTTCCGAGAGGCACGGCCGTGACTCTCGCGAAAGCAAAACCGTGCCTCTCGCGGAACCAAAACCGTGACTCTCGCGAAAAAAAACTAAAACGCGTTTTTTTACGCAAAAAAAAATTCAAATTTTTTTTTGTCGAAAAGCTAGGAAAGACCGGTGTTAAACCGAAACGTAAAAAAACAAAAAAAACCCGTTTAAAAAGCCAAAAACGCGTACTGAAAAATAATAAAAGAATTCAGAGGGAGCGTCCAAAGCGCAACACGTGGTGAATGGATAAGAGCGCGCCAAGTGACGCTGATCGTTGCGAGGCTCCCGAAGGAGCGGTTGTTAATTAGTTGCTCTCAGGTTTGAACCTGCCAAACGATAGCAGCAGACAGCGGAATAGCAGACAGGAGCAGCAAACGCCGAAACGAAGAATGCTATCAAAAAAGCCCAAACGAAGAAACAAACGTGCTGGCGTGATGACGGTGACGGGTACTTGAACTTCGTATGCTTGGATAGATGGAAGATTTGGTCTGACAGACAGCACATAGTACCTGCTTTTCTCACCTAGGAGATTGCGCAGAAAGGTGTTGTCATTTGACGGACATCACCAGGGCTCATTTCATCGAGATCCGAAGCTATATAGGTCAGGGTGAGCTTGTTGGCGAGCATCCAAACAACACGCCGAAGCAGCAAATGGCTGCTGCCATGAGCTTTTCCCACCAAATACACATCTTCATGCTCCTCTGCTACTTGATGTGGTCTCTGCACCTACCTCGTGCCACTGCTTGGTTTTCTTTCACATACAACTTCAACCATCCGCATGGCTACAACGCCCAAGACTTCAGTTACCAGGGCGACGCATACTTCAACACCGTGTCTCAGGCAATCCAGCTGACAAGAGCCGGTGGGAGTCCGAACATCCGGAACAGTGTAGGCCGGGCGCTGTTGGTGCAGCCCGTGCCGCTGTGGGATACCATCACCGGCGAGCTCACCCAATTCAACACCTCCTTCACCTTCCGAATCAATGTAAGCAGTGAGATCACGGGCCAGGGCTTTGCTTTCTTTATCGGGAGCTATCCTTGGACGAGCATGTCCGATCCCCTTGAAAACGGCCAAAACCTAGGCCTTTTCAAGGGAAACCTCAGCACGGTTGCCACCGGCGACAAACAAATCGTGGCGGTCGAGTTTGATACGTTCTTCAACGTTGGCGTTGACACCAGTGGCAGCCACATGGGCATTGACGTCAACTCCATCGTCTCCAAGGCGTACACCAACGTGACTGTGCCTGGCAAGAACCTAACGTCCGGCCTCCCGATGACTTGTAACATCACCTACAGCAACGAAACACAAACTCTAGCAGCTATTCTCAAGATCGGCGACGCGACATACAGTGTCAACACTAGTGTTGACCTGAGGCTCATGCCTAGTGTGGTGACCATTGGCTTCTCCGGTGCTACCGGCGCGGCAGACGAGTTATATCAAATAATGTCCTGGAAATTTCGCTCCACCTTCAACCCGCATGCACGGAAGAGCTATGAGAGTCCCCCTCCTGCACCAAAGATCCTGCTAATAGAGGTAATAACCGGACCAATTATTGGAGTTATTGCAATTGTGTGCATCTTTGTTGGTGTCCGTCGATGGCAACTATGCACGAGAAAGAAGCGTTACAGATCTCTCGCAGGGGGCATTGGACATATTGGTTATTGTAAGTTGGCGCTTGCAGCCAACAAATTCGCACAGGAAAACAAGCTAGGGCAAGGAGGCTCTGCCTCTGTTTATCGGGGCGAACTGGCAAATCCAAGTAGAGCAGTGGCAATAAAGAGATTCAAGCCGGCAACATCTAGCGAGGGGAGGAAGGCGTTCGAGGACGAACTCAGGATTGCCAGTCGCCTCAGGCATAGGAATCTTGTCGAATTGATAGGTTGGTGCTATTATGGCCAGAGAAACTTGGTTGAGTTTATATGCTGGTGGCGGGACGATAGGTATACACGTCTCTTCCTTGTGTACGAGCTTTTACCGCAAGGTAGCCTCGATCAACACTTACACGAGGGCAAGAGTTGGTTGCCATGGTCCAAGAGGTACGTATTGTAATTCCATCTCCAGAATACCTACATCGCTGCAAATTAATTTTTTCCTCGATACATAATGGTAACATGCATGCTTTCACAAACAGGTACGATATCATCCTGGACCTAGGATCTGCACTGCAATACCTCCATGTAGATTGCGAGCAACACAAGCAATGTGTCGTACATGGTGATATCAAATCAAGCAACATGCTGCTTGACCCTTCGTATGGTGCCAAGTTAGGTGACTTTGGATTGGCAAGGTCTGTTCACCAAGGAACTGGGGCACATACCACCGACGTTGTCCAGGGCACTTATGGATATATAGACCCTGTGTTTGTCAACACGAGCCAACGAAATAGGCAGTCAGACATCTACAGTTTCGGCATTGTCCTACTAGAGATGGTCTCTGGAAGGGACCCTACGGTGCGTCTCAATGATAGGCCTCCATTGACATCATGGGTAAAGAGTTTGTACCATGGGAATGCACTCCTCGAGGCCGCAGATGTCAGGCTGATAGGTGGCGAGTCCAGTGTTGGGCGACAACAGATGAAGCGTGCACTACTAGTTGGGCTCTTGTGCGTGCACCAGGATCCGAGCTGCCGGCCGTCCATCATCCACACCATGGATGCTCTGCGATCGGAGAGGCTGGAATTGGACATCACTCCCCTAGCGCCAATGATACCACTCTTGATGCCATAGCCTTGTAGTTCAGGCTTCTAGTCCGAAAAAATAGAAAAATATGTATTCAAGGGCCACATGTTGAGCCTAGATGTACTCATACTAGAAAGGCCACGACGGTGGCAGCGACATAAAGTAATTCTCAGGTTGGTTCATCTAAATCAGTATGTTTTGGTAATCAAGATCAATGGAATATTGCCTTGACATTTGAGTATCTTCACCGGTGGCACCAGTCCAGCTAGGAAATTGCCATTCTCAAACTGGACTTTGAAAAAGCTTTTGAACTAAGTGAACGCAAGACTATCTTGGAAGTTCTGCCTGCTAGAGGTTTTGGATAGAGATGGATAAAAGACTAAGATGATATTTGGCTCCGGCACATATGTTGTGCTTCTGAATGGTATTCCTGGAAACAATTCCACTGCAGAAGTGGCTGAGACAGGGGATCCCCTGTTCCCTAATCTTTGACCTAGTTGTTGACTTCCTCCAATCTATTCTAAATGAAGCAATGCATGGTCAATTCATACAAGCTCCTTTGTTGGCGGAATCTTGCCCTAATTTTCTAGTAATACAACATGCTGATGATATAATTCGGGTTCTCCTTACATCCGAGCCTCAACTTCTCCAAATCAAGAACCTGTTGTTACATTTTTGCAGCCCATATTGTTCTCGAGGTAAAGTGTGAATGTATTAGGTTCTAGAATGCAAACTCTTATTGTATACTGGAGTACTGGGTTTACGTTTTTGGGCAGTAAGATATTTATATGCAAAAGTATACTGGCCTACTGCAGTAAGATATTTATATGCAAAAGTATTAAAAGCTGATATGCCAGAATGAACTATTAAAATGTGACTTTTGGGGCAGTCATATATGCTGCTTTCACTGGACAACACGGGAGGCTTAGTGCTTACCTAAGTACAATAAACACTTTTTTTTCTATATTCAGTAGTCGAATCCCAGTTATGTATGACAATATCCTTGTATTTTTGCTTGATGGTGTTAGTTTTATTCTCAGATTATAAAGTCAAACAGGACAAGTACAGAACGATCTGGAATGATGTTCTTGCCAATCCACTTAATTGGACTGATAACCGGGCTGAGAAGGCGAATGGATCTGTGAGCATCTTGTTTATACATATGTGTTTACTGCCTTAAAAGTAAGAGGCAAAGCTTGTGAACCACTAACACTTGCAGGCATTTTTATTTGAATTGGGCAGAAAAATATGAAGTATCCTGATTTTAAGAACAAGACAGCAGATGAGGCACTCTGGCTTGACTCAGCACCACATTATGTACTAGAGAAGTTGGATGGTATGACTTTAATAGTGGCTACAATGCGGCTAAAACATATAAGCATTTTAATTCTAGCATGGGGAAAGGTAAAACTTTATACGGATCTGGCATTTTAGTAGGAAGGTATGTATAAATTTGTTTTTATTTCATGTGTGTGCATTTTAGTAAGAAGTTAGTAGTTCTGACCCAATACGGATCTGGCTAGGAGACACCCCGCGTCGTCCTCCCCGGGGCGACTCGGGCGGCGGCGAATCCATGCCCGCTCAAGGCCTCCTCCCTCGTGCTCCCCCTCCCCTCGCCCCGCCCCATGGTCTTTGTCGGGCAAAGATAGCGCTGATCTGGCGACGGCGGGGCTCTGGCGTCGCGGGGTGACTGCCGTCAAGTTGGGGTCTTTCGCATCGGCTGACGGCACTGCGTTCCTGCGCGTAGGTCGCAAGAGCTTGGGGGCGGCGGGAGGACGGTGGTGGCTGCACGTGTGCTGCAGCGCGTGGAAGTGTCGATCCCCCCGATCTGATCTGGATCTAGGTAGGTTTGTGCTCGACTTATAGTTGTGGTCGGGCGACGGAGGGATGGATCGGGGCGGCGTGGGGGCCTGCTGCCATGATAATAAAGATGGCGGTCCTCGTGCTCCTCTTGCATCACGATAATATCCTGCATGATCGGTCCTCCTCGATCTGGTCATCGACGTGTTCCGAAACTGCTGTCGGAGATCTTGTCCAAGATATCTGGATCGGATAGAATTCAGTTGTGCACATCCATTTGAGCCTACGAGGTTCCATGAGGGCATGACGCGAAGCTCTGTTGTTAGTTGTCACCATAGGACATGTTGGCTTCTCGTTTCTATGGTGTAGACAACTGTGGTGAAGGTCATGGTGCCTGAGATCGGAGGATTAGTTAGATAGACAGGCCCTTCTAGGCGATGGAGTTAGCCAGGTATTTGAAAACTCTTGAGAGCAACAATGTCAAGCGAGGGCGGCAGCACTAGAGGAATTCATTTTTGGTGGTGCTCCTCAGGTGCCGATTTGGGACTTTTAGGGTGAGAACCTAAGGTCTGGCTTTCATTGGTTGTGCCTGGCAATTCCCTTGTTGAAGGAATTGTTTTGTGAGCTCTGACTTCTCTATGGTGAAAACTTAAGATCTTGGATCGGGCAACAACGACGCTTGTGCACTGTTTTATTTTTGGAGGCGTTGCTTTTGGAGATCTTTTATGTTTTCCGGGTGCTGTATTTGGTGGTGGTTTGTGTGCGGCTGATGGGAGGAGTCAATCACTGTGGCGGGACCTTTGTTTTTTTTCTTTCTTTTTTATTTTTTCCTTTGGGTATGTGCATCTTGGATGTCTTTGCGAGATATTGTAGGTGCAGAGTCTAGGTGTAATTGATATTTTCACCATATCAATAAATTGCTCTTCTTAAAAAATTGGCTTGTGGAATACATCATCTGTATCTCTACTCGTCATCTAAGCTTTTGTACCTGGTAGTTGCACAAGTGGCTTAAATACCATCTTTGTCTGCCTTTTTTTAGAACGAAGGCTCACGAAGAGCCCGGCTTTGAATTAATAAAGCCATCAACCGGCCAGGAGTTACAACAGACAACCCAACTTACAACGGTCAGAACGATACAACGGGGAATGCTGAAAAGCCTACTCACTACAACCTCCACAAGCCGCACATGAATCAGCTAGTAAAGGCCAAGCACTTCACACTAGGATCATATGCAGAAACGGAGCAGCACATCAGGACATAGCCGACCTTCGAGGATGGACCGTGCGCCAGGAGCACCTAGAGAAGAAAGGAACCAACATCTTCCCTCTCAATCACCGAAGAGGGACCCTTCCCCCTCACCATGGCTTGTAGGCGCCGCACCGTCGGGATTTCGAGAAGCTCACCCTAGAGCTGGAAGAATGTCTCCCTCGCCTCGCAAGGTGGACATGGGATGACCACATCGATTTGGGATATACCTCGCCGGCTGCTCCGCCACAGTCCATGCCCAACTAGTTGGACATAAGCTTCAAGGAATTGGACGCCGCAGAGGAGGTAGCTCAATCCCTCTCCTGCAGAACCTCTCGACCGAGCCCCGCACCCTTGACGACGCCTCCAGCAAGGTCACGACGCGCAAGGCGCCGCCGCCGCCAAATCCGCTGAGGATAAGGTTTTCACCCGGGCAGGGGGATCGGGGTGGAAAGCAGGGGACCTCGGCTGCACCCCCATGGAGGAAAGCAGCGCCCTTGGGTGTTGCCGCCGCCGGGCCGGCCGAACCGGCCAAGGTTTCCCCCGGTTCCCTAGCTGACCACCAACACGCACCAATGCCGGATCCAGAGAACTAGCCCACACCGGAGGCGAGAGAGAGGCATCAGGGAAAAGGGATTTCGCACCTCCAGATCTGACGAAGCAAATCACGCCGCGGCCGGATGCCACTACCCACCTGCCGCCCACGCGGCCGGGCGCGCTGGCTAGCACCCCCTACGAACGCCGCCCACCGCCTGACGACGTCACCTCTCCGGCAAGGGCCGCTGCCCCAGGAACCACGGGCCTCCAAGAGGGGGAGGAGCGCCGAGATCCCCGCCGCCACCTTCACCGGCGCCCGCGCGGGCTTCCCGGCGGCCGTCTCTGGTAGCGGCGAGGGGGAGGAAGGGGGTGGAGGGGGGTGCCGGCGGCGGCGAACCCTAGTCGCCCCGAGTCGCCCCATCTTTGTCTGCCTTCGCAAAAGTGGCTTAAATAACATTGGAATTACAATGGGAAAGAATGATAATGATGTGCGTATTTTGGTGGGACGCTAAAACACATGGAGATCGATCTATTAAAGGTTTCTTCTAAGTGTGAACCGATGGCCGCATATGATGGTCCGCTTCTCTCCCACTTGTTTTGTGCGGTAACTGAGGTTGGACTAGATGACATAGGATCTGCGTCCATGTTTTGTGACTTCATTACGTCTTCGCATAAATCTAAATCCCGTTCCTCAAAAAAGAAACAAAACCCGCTCAAAAAGGCGAAGGTATCCACCCTGACCCGAGTTTTCACATGAGAGGAATGTTTTAGAATAGCAGAGGTCTTTCAGACTGGGCTAAACATAAATACGTCGGTGATTATGTGCACGAGCATGTGTTGGATTTTGTGGCTATTTTCAAGGCATGTAAATGTGACTTCCGTGCACATGTCTTTCACCATCTATCTGGTGGTTTTCACTACACATAGCATCGTTTACCACCACGTGGAAGGTGCAGAGGAATGTTACTTGGGATACAAACCACAACCATGGATTTGTTAACTTTTTCGGTTGGTGAATTTCACATCAAATTCCATCTCCGAAACGGAGCTGGTAATTTTATATTGAGTCTGGTCACGGTCTATGGGGCTGTCCAAGATGAGAATAAATCCGCTTTCCTTCTGGCATTGGTGAACCTGGCTAGGGATAACACCGCACCCAATGCTTATTGGAGGCGACTTCTATATCCTTAGGTATGAGGAAGAGAAAAATAACATCTGCTTTGACACTGATTGGCCTTTCTTATTCAACGGTGTTATTGTTAGTTTGAATCTTCAGGAAGCTAATATGTCGGGGTGACTGTTCACTTTGGTCGACAATCATCCAGTGCCAACATACGAGAAACTTGATTGGGTACTCATGGATACCGAATGAGAATTAAAATTCCCTCTGGTAACATTGCGTGCCCTAGAGCAGATTGAGACACTTTCGGACCATGCACCCATCATTCTTGAGTCTAACTCTGCTA